AGACCAGGCTGCTCAAGGCACTGTCCAACTTGACTTTGGTGATTTCCAAGGATGGGGCATCTCCCACCCTTCATAGAATCATAGAATCATGATATGGTTTGGATTGGAATCCAAACCAATTTATATGTCATCTAATCCTGCAACCCTGCCATGGTTGGATGTCTTCAAATAGGTGAGGTTTCTCCAACCTTCTTCCAAGTCCTTAACCTCCTTCCAAGTGTCCTTAAACACTTCCAATCATAGACTAATAAGGTGGTTTGGGTTGGAAGGGATCTTCCAAGGTCATCTCATCCAATCTCTGGCAATGGTCAGGGACAACTCCAAATACACCAGGTTGCTCCAAACCTCATCTAGTCTGACTAATCTGGACACAATTCACATTTTCTGGATATTGGAGTCACAAACTTCACTGAAGGCAAACCACCTTTTCTTCTTTTTTTGAAGTTTTTTTCCTTCCTCTTTATCTGTGCCCATGATCATACTTTCCACTTTTAAACATCCTTTATAACTGGAAAAAAAATTTGACCCAGGAGCAAGAAAAAACAAGATGTGTTGTGATTTCTGTGTCTCTTTCTGAAACTCTTGTTTGCTCTGTGCACTGTTTGCTTAGGCAAGCAACAACATAAATCTGCGAAGTGGACTGTAAATTAATGAGCCATCATGGCAAACCTGTAACAGTCCTTTACAGGATAAAGCAAGAGCTGTTTAATTGTATGCAATAAATAGCACCACATCAATAATTTATAGTAATCAGTTAACTTGATAGACTTTGTCTTTTATGTTCATGAGCTGTGTCTTATTGAGGATTATGGTGAGCTTTCTTCTTGCTGCATTTTATATTAACACTGGAAAGGGGTTCATTCAAATACAAAGTGCCTCACACTGAAAGATCCAGATGTACTTTTTTCCTTCCTTTCCTTGTGTCTGAACTTGTCATCTAAACTGTGAGGCTCCTCAATGGGATAATAGTCATCACTCACAAAGCAATCAGAAAAAAATTCCAGCAGCAGCTCAGTGTAGCTTTACATCTCATACAAGAGATATTTATTCAGGAAATTAAAGTTGAAACCACTGGGTAATGCATTAGGAATCATCTTTTCAGAGTCACTTTATCTCAGAGTCTCTGTGGAAATGCTTCAAGAATATTTTCACAGGAACAGTATCAGGTTTTTGGAGAGAGATTGTTTAGACCATCAATATCTACTGAACTTTCTTGGAGCTGTTGGAGAGGAAGACATATCAAAATGCTGTGATGGAGAAAAATGGCTCTTTTTAATCTTCATTTCAAGCAGTATAAGTTACTGATGTAGAGTCTGATTTCTTGATATACAGTCTGCACTAGACATTACTTCGATGACTAAGGTAGGAATCCTGATTTCTCCAAATTGGATGTTTCTTTTTAAACTGATGCTGATTTGAATGTATTTATCATTTTGCAAATACAGTTCATTTGGGGTTTAACACACAATAAGAAATTAACAATACTGCAAATGGGTTTTTGATCTCCAAGTGTGAGCTTTTGTCATGCTTGATTTAGGATGCTGTTGCTACATCAAAAGTCATGCTGTGCTAAAAGTCATGAACCAGATGTCTCCTTGCTGGTAACAGGGAAGTCATATGCTTCTAATGCACTATATCCTGCAATATGGTTTAGTGTCAATGCCAACACTACCCTGCCAATGGAGGAACAATTCCATACAGTTCTTATCTATGAAATAATGCAAAAAATATTGTTTATCTAAAATAAGTAAATGCAGCAATCCTCACTTTACAGAGTAATACTTTGAGACACAGCAGAATTCTCTTTTACTGATCCATCAGAAGACTATAGGAAAATTGCCTACCTAAGACATAATTTTCTCTTCCTGGGCAGGTGATGCATCCAGAAAAAACACTTTTTTATTTTTTTTTTGCAATATTTTAAAGACTTTAACAAATGTGTTCTGCTGGTAAAGACACCAAGTAAAAATGGCTATTTAGAAGGGCCTGGAAGGACAGGACAAGGGGGAAGGCTTCACATTGACAGAGAGTGGGGCTAGATGGGATATTGGGAAAGAATTCTTGTCTGTGAGGGTGGTGAGGCTCTGGCACAGGTTGCCAAAAGAAGCTGTGGCTGCCCCATCCCTTCAAGTGTTCAAGGCCAGGTTGGAGCAACCTGGTCTAGTGGAAGGTGTCAGGGTGTCACTGCCCATGGCAGGGGGTGGAACAAGATGATTTTTAAGGTCCTTTCCAAAACAAACCATTCTATGAAAAACAACTACATTTTAACCCAGAAGGAAGACATTTATTGTATTAAAAAATGCCTTTCCCATCTGATTTCTTCTTTCCTACTTTATAACAGGGCCTGTACCTGGAAACTTCACGTTTTCAGTCTTCTGCATTTCCCAGTACAGAAGTAAAGAAATTATAAATGTAAAGGATTTTATCTAAGAAACAAAATTAAAACAAATGATGAGAAAGTGACACTGACAACTTTTAATAAAATAATATCCAGTAAACCTCAGACAAAATTATGTGCATCTGGTTTTTATGCAACATTGCAAACATTTTATTACAAATGTGGCTTTTCTTCACTTTCTTGTTAATGCTCTGTGCTCTCTTGCAACAGAACTTCTTGAATAGAACCCCAAATTAGCTAGCATTTAGGAATAAATGCCATAGTTTCAGACTGAATGTGAAGTGTCTTCTAGATCTCTTTGGAGAACTCTTTCCTTTTTTTCCCCAACTCTTGAATAGAGACAATAAATAAATAAAAATAAATTAAAAAGACACAAACAAACAAAAAAAAGAAAACAAACTCCCCTTGATTTACCATAGTTTTCCCTCAGAATCAAACAGGATTAAAGGAAACTTATTTCAGCAAAGGCACACTTTTTTAATCAGTTCAGCTGTCAAAAGCTCAGTTTGATACTTAGGAATATGGATCTAATAAAGCCATATAATTCAGTAACTCATGTTAATTATCCCTCACTTATTCCATCACTTTACATCCGAAGGTAATGATACTTATGTAGCTCTGATCAGCACCATCATCAATGGCTTACAATGATTTTACTATTTTGGATGTTAACTGTAGCAGACCCTTGATAAATTATAGGATATGGCACAATTACTTGGAATGTTATACTAACCATAAGGAGCTTTCAAGCTAATTTTAGTCATCCATAAATTCCTCAGCTAGAGCAAAACTAAGGTTCATACTGCAAGAACACTTGGTCTGCTAAAGATAGAAATTAGACCAGATACTGCAAAAATCAACATAGTTCCCTGAGATAAATGAAAATAAAACAGTTTACCCCAGCTGAAAATGTGACTTAGCAACCTCGAGAATTTTTAAGAACAAAACAAAACAAAGAAAGAAAAAATAGAAACAAAAAATAAGAATCAAAAACTAACTACCCCACACCCCAGGCAGTTAGTATAGAAAAATACAGCTGCATCTGACCCAGAGGATGGTTGTGTCTCTCAAAAAGCTTTTATGAATTTTATAACTAGGAGACAGTGTTTTATTGACCAAGGTTAGCAATTCTGTATACTGAAAAAGGCATTTGCAATAATATAAGTGAAAGGAAAGGGATATTTTTTTTCCTTAGGGATATAAATGGATTTTCAGGAGCAGGAAAATGCAATGAAAAGGTGCAAATACGTGGAAGAAGATGGACTGAAAGAGGGAAAATGAGTTAGCACAAATTAATCAGAAATAAGAGAACTCCTTAGGAACTGGAATTGAAACATCAAAAAGCCATCAGATCAGGAGATACCTAGGGCTGAACACAAGGAGGGATGTACTGAGAATCCTGACTGAAGAAGATTTTAGCTGCTGTGGTTTGCACAGATGGGAAAAACAAACAAACCAAACCAAAACAAAATAAAAACAAACAAACAAACAAAAACAAAACCAAGCAAACAAAAAAAGATAGTAATACCTACGATGTCCTTTCTTAATAGAGATTTTTAGGGTACCAGAAGTGAATATAGATCACTGTGCACATACTATTATTCTAGTGTTGAGGAATAGATCAGGTGCAGGCAGCTGGGTTTGCAAGTGCAAAATGCAGGTTGAGATGCAGATGAAGCTCTGGCTGGGAGTTTGAGACAAGAGACTGTGAAATGCCAACCCTTTGCATAACAAAGGGCTTCCCTAAGAGCAGGAAGAACTTCATTTAATCTGATGAGCAACATCTGTAAGCAGTCAGATATGAAATCTACTATCCTACATGTTTACACAACAGGTGAGAAGACAGAGGAAAGCTCACTAAAACTGTGCCAGTGCCCACTGTGCATGAGCGTGGGATTTCACACACAGGTAATTTTAAAAAAAAACAGCATGGAGTGAAGTAGGACACAGAGGAGAGGGAAAGGGAAAGTATTCCAGAAAGTTCTGCAGTGGCATCTTATGAACATAGTATAAAAAGCTTTATTTTTCAGCTCTACATTAAAGAATAGCACCTGAGGAGGCCTGGGGATACTTGCAATCACTTCATTTATTTTCTGTTACCAGAACACGAGTTTTTTATAACCTCTTAAAGGGCAGCCCATATATATTGTGCAAAAGCATATCTCAGGGAGATATACAACACAAAATCAATTTGTGTATTTCTCTGTCTTCATCCCCTTTCAGTAATAAACCTTGCTGAAAAAAAAAAAAAGGCTGTAATTCAGCCAGAATTAAACTCTTAGCACTCCCCCACAGATGCTGACCTGCACGTAGGTGTTCTGTGCAGTACAATTATCTCACATTCTGTAGCCCTGCAACATGCTCATAATGCAGTGACTTACAGAGTAAAAGACGAGTAGAAGTCTTGATCTCTTAAACTCTCTTCTCTGTATGTCTGTGCCATCTATATGTCCTTAACCCATGAGAGCCCTCCAAGGCAGACACAGCTCTTTGAATCTGACATACTAAACTGCCTGGCATAAATAGTCCTTCACTGTTTTAAGATGCTGCCAGCCTTGGAATTTGCCATATATTCTGACATTTACTGTTGGCTATAAGGGCAAGCTGTTCAGACAGGTGAAAAGTTGCTCTATAAATGCACTAATAAATCCTTTATACTAAAAGAAAAATAATAAAAAATAAGGAAAGATAAGCACATAACTACAGTAACAACTGATCATGAAGGATCATAAAAATAAAGAAAATGTAGGTAGAAAATTAATTCTTTGACCATGAATACATACTGCAACACATAATAAAATTTACAAAATATATGCCTGTAATGCTGAAATAAAAAATAACATGTATTGAAGATGCATCTATTGGGTTATTGCGCAGAACAGTGCCAGGACCAACCTCCTTTTTCATCTGAAAGAAAAAGCACATAGCTTTAAAAAAATTTACCAAAGACATTAAAATATGAAATGCCTGAATGAGCAACTGCAATGGGTCTAGTCATGTAGCAGACCTAGAAGAACAGGACCTTGTGTAAGAACACAAGATTATTAAACTTGTAGACAATACCATATAAATCAACACACTGCAGATTAAAACAACTAAATAAATACATAAATAAGTAAAAAACCTTAAACAAATAAAACCCAAACAGCAATCTGTAGCCTTTTTATTTTTTTTTTAGTGGGAAAGGCTAAGTTGAGGATATGGAATACCGTGCCTAAAAAAACCTTGAGTTGTTGATGTTCTGACATTTGTTTTTAACATATTTTTCTAAAAAGAAAGGGTTGTGGGTTTTTTTGTTAATAAGAAGCTCATCTGGCTACCTGCATCAAACCCTGAAGAAAGTTTGGATTTCTTTCCCACCATTCCCATAATTGCCATAACCATGCTGCAGGCAAATGTCTTCTCTCAGCAATCAGCCTGAAGGAATGTTCTAAGGAAGGAGCATGTAGGGTGTAATACAAGCAAGATCCTCATTTATTGAGCAAAAGGAATGAATATAAGGAAAAAAAGCGCAATTGTACACTAAAATGAAGACTACAAATTGGATAGAAAAAGCCACCAACTTGTAAGTTTAATTAAGAATTCCAGCTAAGGTTGTCTACAATAAATATTAAGTTGAATTATGTTATTTTCATTACTCCACTTCGTCATTTGAAATGTAAGTTTTAGGTGACAGGTAAATGGTACTTCACATGGCAGATTGCAAAGATATTTTGCCTGTTAGAGGCCACATGCATTGCTACACAAGCTAAAGGTGATCTCTTCTCAGGACACATTTCAAACTGTCACAATTTGCAGGAATTAAAATAGCATAAAATAATGTGCCAGTTTTCTGAACTTGTGGAGTCTTCTTGTTAGCAAGGTAATAGTGTAGTATTACTAACAATAGGCTAACTTTTTGTCAAAATTCTGTAGGTTCCAGAACATCTGTGAGTTGATGTTCTAAAACCTTTCGGTCACATTTATTTCTTGGTATTTTCTTTTTAGGTGACGTGGAGAAGTGTGGAGGAGCAAGGATCAGAATGGGAACGGTTTCAGGAATGGAAAAAGATATAAGCTATTGAAAGGACTTTATTATACGGACTTTGCAGTTCTTATGTGTTTACAAATATATACATTGTATGATTCCCTGAGATTTGTAATACCCGGGCTTGCCCAGGCATGCCTGCTCCCTGCTTCCCTGCTTTCCCCTCTCATTGGCCGAAGAAGCTCCACAGAGGAGAGAGCTACCATTCTCTCTTTCCTTCCCCAGTTCCTCCCCCATTCCTCCCTCTTCACCTGAGTCCCTCTTCATTTCCCCAGTTGTCTGTCTCATGCTCCGCCCCATTTTCTGGTTCATTCCACGCCAGAGCTGATAAAATCGTTGTGCACCGCCATTAAAGTAGCATAGCATTGCAACCTCAACCCTCGTTGGATCGCTTTGTGCAGTGCCGCGGCCCTTCGCTCCTCCCCCACGGACCGTGGCAGAGTTGGCAAAACTAAAGGAGATATTAATGAAGGAGAAATTATTTAAAAAAGGAGATATTGTTAAAGCCTTCTCAGAGAAAGTGGAAGGAGGCAGCACAGCTGCAGCAATGCGGTGTGGAAGCAGAATACTAAATAATTTATCTGTTTTTAGGAACCTGAATGGCTCCACCAGGTATGGAAACTTGAGCCTGGAGAACAGAGCACTCGTGGTCGTGTTCCTACAAGGCTGTCAGCCATTTCTGGGTGTTCTGCAGTGGATTTTTGAATAATTGAAGGTAGAAAATGCATGGTTCAGCTCTTAGCCTTCATGTTGCCTGAACTGACATAACGAAATATCCCCCTGGAGAGACTGAAGAGAGTTAGGAAAGCACACTGCTCCCCATGCCTGCTTGCAATTTTTCTGTCTCAAGGGCTTTGCACAGGTGATTTACAGTACATTATGCACACATTGTGTCAGGGCTGTGAGACTCCAAATGATATTATGCTTCATAAGCTGCACTGCAACAAGCAATCAAAGATGTTAAGTCATCCATTTTAGAGCAGATTTATAGAGAAATAGTCAAGTTCTTGAATTAAGCTCCTTGCACTGCAGTTTGAAGACAACACAAAATGCATATGAATAATGTAGAATAATGGGACAAGACATGGTTATGGGCATTTCAGAGACTGGCATGTGTTTGTTTGGAAGTCACATGGGGAATAAAGTCATATGGGGAGAGCTTTACTCCAACAGTGGACACAGAGAGGATTGCTCAAGAGGACCCAGGAGTGATAGCTTTTCTATTCCCATTGATAAAGTGACCTGGACAATTTTCCAGGTCTTGCTAACTTAGTCAGCAAGATAAGAGGTTAATGTTACAGAAATCTTACCCATTTTATTCCAGGAACCTCCTCTCTCTGTATGCACTAACTTTGGCCACTGCATCCACAGTGTTTTTTGCCACATACACAGACTGTCGTGAGGACAACTCCTGCCTCCCCATCACTTGTATAGGGTCAGCTTCAGTGTAGCCCAAGAACACTGAAAAACAAATCAGATTTGGGAGCAGGGGGGGAAAGTCAGTGTTATCAGTGACAGTTATCAATTTTAAAATGTTTACTTCCTAAGGCAGCTTCCAACGGGGGAGGTGCAGACATGGTTCAGGAATCGGAGTTTACACAAGGAAACAGAAAAACTGATCTAAGGCAACAGTCACCCTCACAGCCAGCTGTTACTGGAGTTTAAAATTTAAACCCTAGACTTGTTTCAGACAGGCTTTAATAAGCAGATGCTCTGGGAACACTCCAGTTGCCTAATATGGGCATTTGGTGTCACTGTAGATGTTCCAGATGCAAAACTTTCATGCAGGGATAGCAGATAATTTCTGCAACCTCAGGGTTGCACCAAACTACCTAAAATAGGACTTCATACCTGTGTTTAAACATCAAAATCCAGTGCAAGCAGGACTTGGAGAAAAAGCCTCACATAAAATCTTTCTCAGCAAGTTATTTCAGTCTTTCTTTTTTTTTTTTTAATTAGCAGTGAACTTTAATGAGAGAAGAGACTGAAATGCAAGATGAGGAATTATAATCACATAACTTGGCACAATGTGTTTAAATAATAACTTATAAAGTGGCATAACAAAAGAAAATACTTGGAGCGTCTAATTTTATTGTTGAAGTAATTGAAGGCTGAAGAAGCATTGGGTATTATAACGCAGGTTTGCAGCTATTATGAATCTCAATTCACATGTATTTTCAACTGATAGATTTTTTTGCATAATTCAGATGTTTCAATTTCTTAAAAATAACATTAATTTGAATTAGTTTTGTCCAAGAAATACAAGTTTGTCATGACAACCTCTATGTACTTCAACATAAGAAGTCATAGAATAAATAATAAATTTATCTGTGCATATGTATGTCTTAATTCATATTAATGTAACATACATATATGCATATATATATATGCTTCCCCTCATTATGTATTATCCAGTATTCATATAGTATACATATATATAAATATATAGCCTTGCATGTATAGCTATGTGGGTTTGAGATTCTCATCCATGAAAAATGAAATTTATTTACAAATCTGATGACATTGTACCATAGAATATCTGGCTGAATGAACATTGCTATCTTCTTGCCATTTTTTGTTACAGCTGTCTGGTACAAAAAAATATGGAAAGCAACCTGAGCCAGTGAAAGGCTGGTCTCACCAGCAGAATTTGTGTTAGCAGCGTACTTCAAATTCTGAGATAAATTCATTTCTTTAGGGGGCTTGACTGCCTCAATTCATAAAGCCAAAAGTGTTTTAGCAAGCACCACTCTGACTTGCATCATTGTAGACCCCAAATCATATTCTCTCAGATACCACAAGCACAGGAGGTTTACACAGCAGCTTCCATGGAAATGTGAAAGGGCTTTAGCATAAGCGTACTTGAGGTAGCACAGTTTAAAGGAATCTCAGTGTGAATATCAGTCAGATGTATAATTTATATATTCATGTTCATGACATGATTGAATTTTTCTTTTTTCCACTGCTTATACTTCCTGTCCAATCCATGAGCTTTGTTTAGTTTTTTCCTCATGCAAATTGAATGTGCTCAGAACACCAGCAGCACAGATATTCCTGAAGGAATTTGGATTAAGCTCCTATGGGAGAAGACTGGGGAAGAAGAACTCAGAAAAAGATTTCAGATTTGTGTTTAGATGTGCTTAAAGCAAAGTGCAAATTATTTTAGTGGTATTTATAGGGTTTGTACTGTTTTATTTTATTCCTTTTCTCACCTACCATGATATTTTGTTCACAAGCTTTATTTTGACACCAGTATATTCTGACAGCTTTTTTTTAAAAAAAATTCATAAGAATTGAAAGACTGTCAATCCTTTCTTGCTCAACAATATCTCATGGAATTGCTGTGTGATAGGTAACAAACCAACTGAACATCTCATATATCTTCTCCCCTTCAACCATGGAATAAAAAGAATGGGATGGATTTGACTTCGTTTTCTGCTTTTGCCAGTATGTAAGAAAACTACCTAAACAGTGCTCCTCAAGGTTCATGTGGGAACATATTTGCTTTGTCCAAAGATCACATATATAATTTGTTTTTTGCTTTGTAAATTCTTGCCACATTATCTCTATCCTATTCTTTACAATATTCTAACCACATTACTCTTTCAGAGTATCTGTTCTTACCAGCACAGATATTGTTTCATTTTCCCCTCCTTGTAGCCCATTACTCCTTATTAACATTGACTGCTGCTTCTCATTTACAATAAAACCTTTTATTTGCTTTCTTATTTCACCTCTGAAATTGCCGAGGCCTGTCTCTGTCTGGCATCTCATACTTTCTTAGAAATGTTTCTTCAAAGTCTATTGCAACAATGGATTTTACTTGGAGTTTTAACATCCATGCAGCAACTTATGCAGTCATTTTCATTTGGTTTGATTTTCTTTTAATGAAGAATTTCACTTTTATTTAATTTCTCATGCTTTGATAAAATACTTTAATTTTATTAAATACTTAATGTCATAGTTTACTGCCTGTGCTCTGTTTTATGTTCAGGATCACACCAAATGGAAATACATGGAGGAAACACAAGGCATTAATTCAAAGGTTAAAAAAAACCAAAAAAGCAAGCAAACAAACAAACAAAAAATTTAAAAGTCCTTATTGTTCTCTTTTAGACTAATGTTTTGCTTTTAGGATGATTCAGTTGACATTCAACAGCAGGACTTCAGTCCTTTAAGAGGATCAATATCTTCCACTTAAGTTAATATCAGTAGAAAACTTGTGAACTTAATACCTCAGTGGGGACACTTAGGTTTACAAATGTATAAACTAATTAGCAGTGAATCTTGTGATAAGGAGTTAAGTGATAAGAGTTTCCATAGAGGGGAGGGCAACAGTGAACATTTTTATTGTCTTTAAAACCTTTCAATTTATTTCTCAGTGTGGGCCTTCTGGATGTATTCAACTCCCTCTGGAAATATGTAAATCATTAAAATGCAAATGAAAATTGAAATTGAAGCACCTAGCAAAGGGAAAAAAATCAACAGAAATTACTCACTGAATTCAGTAAAACAAAATACAGATTGAAGTGGAATTATCCAGCAGAAAGCATTAGGTCACAGGGTATTTAAAGTAACTGTTTTAATCCTTTTCCAGTTGGCTGTAGGAAACTGGGGAAATGCAATCATAAATACTTCGTAGCAATTATAGTTTACAATTACAACAGCTACAATGCAATCTGTTTCATAAACTGATAATTTTTTCCTTGAAAATTTACAAGAACTCACTGTTTTTCCTACCCTCAACATCTCTAGATTAGTTATTCTCAGAAGCTTTTCCAGGACTTCATTTGTCTCATCCTTACAGAAGTGCCTCTAATTCCTGGACCAACAACCCATTTAAGTACATTTCTTCTTGGATTAACATCATACTTTTGGTTAAAAAGTTGTCGCCCTTGTTTAATCACTCCAGAAACCATTTTCTCCTATGGTTCCAAAGAAATTCGCAAGAAAATTCATCTCTGCTTTGCACAAACTGATTATATTTTTCAGTTGGAAGCATCTGATGATTCATTTGCATTTTTAGAATCATTTCACATTATTGGATCTCAGTTGTTTGTTAAAACATATAGATATCTTCCTGTCTCTCCTCTTTCCAGCTGATATACTTGAACTTTATAAAATAAATCATATACTTCCTCTATTTTGCAGTCAACCTGACTTGGGTGGATAAGAAATTTAATCTTTCCAAGGATGAATTCTGAACATTTTGGATAAAAATAAGACTGGCTTATTCTTTCCACTGAGCTTACTCTCTTTTGTCTATTTAGAACAAGCCTTTGAATAGGATTTTTTTGTATTTTAAGAATATGCCCAGAACAGAGGTTGTTCTGTAATGCATTTGCAGCAATCTTTTCTCTTTAAATGCCACTCCTCCTGCACAGAATAAGAGCAAAACATTTGCTGAGCAGCAGCATAGTCACTATTATTCTCTTTGTCTTCCACCTCTGGAAAAATTTGAATATTTTTCAGAGTGATGGACCCTTGAGAAATATACTTAAATCAAGACTATAACCTGGGACTAGAGCTTATTCCTGAGTTGTGTTGGTTCTTTGTCCTGAGTCAAATAGTTTTCAATAGCACTTCTTAGTGAACCTGTTCAAAATTATTTTCTTATTCATAATTTATTTAAATTTTCATATAGTTTGAGGTTGAATGAAACAGTACTTTGGGTGAATTACCTTCAAAATTTGCAAATTTTTAATCATTGGAACAATTCATCAATGTATTCATTAATGTCCTTTTCTTTAGCACATTCCCACTATTTGTAATATTTTCCCTTATGTGGAACATCATGTTTCATGTTTCAGATTTACAGTAGCAGACAAACACCAAGATGAGGATTTTCCTTTGTTAGGTAACTTAGTGAGTAAACTGGCTATTTTTAAAAGATAATTATCCATTTCTTCCAGTGGGTTTAGTGTCCTTTTGGCCTGATAGTGCAGGCCATCATCTCATAAGAATTCCTCTAGAAGTCACAGCAAGAATATTCTGGAAAATAATTGCCTATCATGTGGAACATTTTCTTCTGTTGCATAAAATCAAGGACATGCAATCAGGATTATTTGGCCAGTTTGATTTCAGAGCTGGACAGGCCAAGGAACCTGAAACTTGTTATGTATTTAAACCATGCACCCATCAATTTACATGTATCCATGACCTGCCAGATGCAGTGTTCCAGTTGATTCCAATATAAACACTGTTAATGTACTGTGAAATGATTCTCCTGAAGCAGCATAAACATTTAGTCTTTTCGTTAGACTAGTGAGTTTTAAATTACCATTTTTAAAATGCAATACAAAACTGTATTAAAAAATTAGGTGAAGCTGATCATACAAAATTGACTAAAAAGTTGACCTTGAAAGTTTTTGACTTCATCGAGTAATTAAAAAATATTAGGCCAAGAAGATATTTTTAATTTAGAAGCCCAGTTTCTATTCTAGGAATATTATTTTTAATATTTCAATATGGATAATGCTGTGAATCATACTCTCTCTGTAATTGTCAGACAAAGATACTTTTCCCTAAAGAAAGGGACAAATCTGTAATTTCATTTGCCTCACTGACACTTAATCATCGACTTTGTCAGATGTCTTGTTTTCACACACACTGTTTTATTTGAATTGATAGCAAGCATCCAACATTTCTAAAGAACACTGCTTTAATATACCTGATTTACAACATATCAGTTAGTTAAACCTTAGAAACATATAATTTTGGTGATCATGAGAAGAAATGGAAAAAAACAGGGGTGCAGAGGAAGTTTTTTCTGAACTTTATATCTGTTGCCAGGGCAACCACATACTCAGCATCTCTATAGATTGCTCAGTGTAATTGCCTCATTTTAAGTATTATGGACCCAGGTAACAACAGGTTCAAACACACAAAGGAATGTGTATAAGATCTGAATCTAAATTGTCACTTTATTTCTGAGAAGGAATAGTCCTCTTTGTATGGGTGGTTTGTTGTGGTTTTGGTTTGTTTTTTTTTTAATTGTTTTTTTTTGGGGGGGTGTGGGTTTGGGCAGGATGGGGAGGCATTTTTTTCTGTTGGGAGATTGGTTTCTTTTTTTTTCTAAAATGTGTTGAAAAGAAATTGAAAATTCATTTGCAAGACAGAGGAAACTTACAGTCAAAGTCCAAAGCAAATTCTCATCTCATGGGACGTAACTTCAGCTGTGTGATGTCCGTGGAATCTCCATTTCTCAGGATGCAAATGTCTTGGAAAGACAGTGTCCTAGTTAGGACAGCTGAGATCAGTTCATCATGGTATGGGTGTAACCCAAAACTGTGTATTCTATAGCCTTCCATGCCATTACCCAGAAACTGTTGTCAATAGACTATTCACACCCTCTGCCCATAGAGCCTGACTCCTTAGGCTATAAACTAAGTGTTAAGAGGCCTGTGAGATAGGAGGATGCTCTTGTCCTCACACCTTTTATGGAAGTCCCCACTCTGAGCCTTTTATGGAACTCCCCGCTCTGAGGGAAGGATTGACCATTTCTGCCTGAACTGGAGAATATATAAACCTGGAGTTTCAGAACTTTTGCAACCACTCGTGGGATCCAGAGGAAGACTGCAGCTCATCGCTCTCAACCACTACAATCACCGCTTCTGACCAGACTGCAACAGCTCTCCCACCAGCAGGTTTTTTTCCCCCTCTCCCTTTACTTTGGACTCAAGCGGGGCCCAGGGAACACCACTTTGTTCATGCCCCAGGGTACTGGGTTGTACATGTGGGTTTTGTGGGTTGGGACCAATTGTTTGTTTGTGTGATTGTGCTTGCTGTGTTGTTTTAATAAATTGTTATTCTGACTTGTGGTCTCTCCTTTGAGTTGAGTTCATTTCCTCTGCTGGTTGACTCTTAAACCAGCACAGACAGATACAGGTTATTGTGCCTCCTGAATTAATCACACGTAGCCACATGAGCTAATGGGGCTGCTGTGGAATGAATGCTCTGTGAAGAACAGCATCACCTTAAATTAGTAGGATGTGTGTCTAGATCTATAAAAAGACAAATCTATTATATTTTTATCACCATTTTAGTGTTCAGTGTCATCACTGACAGTAAAGTTGCAATGTCTAAGCATTATAGAATTGATAAAAAAGAAAAAATGCTTGGATGTAAATTTCCAAGCTGCAGAAGAGACAGATTTGGCACATCACATATCAAAAGAACCAAGTTAAATAACATGGGAATACACTTGCTAGGTCTATTAAAAAAAAAAAAGAAAAAAAAAAGAAAGAATCTAAAAACCTCTATCCTTTACTGGCTACTTACGTGGTAACATTAAATATAGCTGTGATATCTTGGGAGTACAGTATAGAGTAAAGAAGTTATTTGTGAAAGTTAAGCTAATGTGTCACCTAGAAGAAAAAGCTGTTATTAACTACAATACGTTGCTATCTATCACTGAGGCAAACTTTCAAATGCTCACACTGACAACCATCAATCTCACAGGACAGAGACCTATGATTCATTTTAGACAATTGCTGTCCCAAAAACCTTGGAAACCAAAAGTTGTTCCCAAATTTTGAGTGATGAAGTGAGGGGTGTTTTGGATTACTTCACAATGTGGTCTCTCTGATACCAGGGAGCCTCATATAAATTATGGATCACACTGAGGAGCACAGATAAGGCAAATTATTGGACTGATAGTTACATAGAACAAGTATAATTTATGGTATTGCATCTTACAGAAAGACACCATAAAAAGAACAAGTATGAGAAAAAAAGACATCCAATTTTTCATCTAAATATGTAAAGAGGAATTTTTCATTAAGCTGTCATGAGATCCATTGGACAATGTCTGTAGTAAAGAGGAAGGAATTCTACGATTAATGATGAAACTTTCTGGCAGCATTAATAGATAGCAGTACAATAAAGTCCTGACAGCAGAAAGTCCTCTTGTTTGCAGTCTTTTATCCCACTTGTCAATGAAATGCATATTTACTCTGTAAGTATTAATCTTGGTTAGGATTTAGAAAGGTAAGTTATATGTGAAACACTTTCAAGGGTACTGTTTGAAGTATTTTTAGGAGCAGATTTTATCAGTATTTAGAACACCTTTTATATTTTTCATGTTCTAGTGATAGCAAGAGAGAGCTTTGCTTCGGTTTGGGGTTTCTTTATCTGTGATGCTGTTTTACTGATAATAGCTTTACAATATTCAAAAGTTATTCCAATGTGTAAAATATTACCTATAGTTATGTTACACTGTAATTGTACACTATTCATTCCTACATGAGGTTCTTAGAATGAACAATTTCCTGTTTTCTTGCTTGTTTTTTTTTTAAGTTGTATCATAGATTAGAAGAGTACCCTATTAAAGGCATTTAATGTCTTGCATCTGAGCAGATACAAAAAGACAATGTAGTATAGGAAAACAGGTAATTGGGAGGGCATCAATATGTATGTGAAAGTTCCCTACCAAAAGAGTAGAGAAGACACCACCTGGCCACCAGTCCTAATTCAGATGGAGTTTAATCTTTAACTTTCAAATTTTTTTATTTTCAATTTTTTTTTCCCTTGCACATTATGGCTTTGTTTTACTGCTGTGTTGGCAGATAGAAAAACTGGAAACTCTGCTGGTGAGGTGCATGTTGAAAACCCTCATGATAAATTATTTATCCTGATTGTAAGCATGGTTAAGTTCATCGCATGGAGGAAGTGCAGGGTAGACGTGAGGGGAGTGGGAAAATACCTCCCTCACACTCTGAGTTTCAGGTCCTCTGGAAAAAAAATCATTAAATAATGGACTTAGATAAATGCCCTCCTACTCTGACAGAATGTAATAAGTAACCACAGGTTATGGGTTGAAAAAAGTGGAAGAAGATCACAAAGGAAGTCAGCCACTGAACTACTCCTGCCTTTGAAAATTTAAACTTACATGTCTCATGTCCAACAGCATCACAGCAGAGTGAGTGAAATGCAGATCCTTTTTTTCCTGCAAGAAATGAGTGAAATGAAAAATGAAAAACTGAACCTTCAAACCCTAAGCATATGATAAGAGAATTTCAGGGAGCAATTATTTCAAAGCCAATGCCTCCAATTAGAAACTTTAATGTAGGCAGCTTTTAACTGCCTTTAAAAATACAATAAGCATTGCTGAATTATCTGCTCATTCTCTCAGCACCTTAAGTCAGAATACTAAAAATCATTTATACCAGACCAGCCTAAGTTACACAGATGCAAGTACTCAGCCCAGGCTGATTTTGTACACATTTGATTTTTCTACACATTCATGATTCACTAAAGGATATATGTAACTAATCATTTCCAAAAATTTATTGCACATTCCAGTTGATAAATTTTGTCTCTTGACTGTTTTGTGTACAGCAAATGGTGCCTAAATTAATTAAGATTTCTTTGAACATATACTGATTATTATCCCTGTTAATCGAGCACTAATACTGGTAAGGCTGACAGAAAGTAAGTTACAAAATATTTGAGTAAAAATAGTCCTGGAAACCCTGCCAAATAAATGCAGAAATTGATCGAATATGGAACTGACTCAGAGGTAGCAGCTCACTTTCACCTGGGCAATCAGTTACACCTACACAGAGAGAGTATATAATGCTGTCATCCACTTAAGATTTTGGATTTATTATGGATTTCCCTGAAGAAGTAAAAACTGTGACTCATTCTACATAGGTGTGAATGCAAAACAGGGAAAATTCATGTGATTTAAAGAAGATTTAAAATTTAGAAACTTACAAAGAAAAAGTTTGCAAGGTTCGTGGTAATTCTGTCTTCACAAAATCCACGGAAAGAGAAAATTTTCTTTCTAACAGAAAATCATGCTTCCCACTTTTTATTGGAGGCTAATTTTAAATTATAGCAATTGTGAATAACACTACAGAAGAGAAAATGGATATTATGAGATTATGTTTTTCTGAGTATATGTCACATGACTCTAAATATCACAAAAATCAGCAATTATAGAAATTGGTGTAAGTACAATATATCTTTCCCTTTCCACCATAACTTCCACACACATCAGATACATGAACTTGTACTAGACAAGGACAATTTGTTCTTCACCATCACTGCCCCATTATTTGTTTATTTCCCTTCCCTTCTCATACAATCATTACTCCTCCATTCAGCTACAGCTGATCTTATTTGACTGGATTCAAATGCATGTAAGACATTAGATACCTTATTTATTTCAATTTCTTGCACATTGCAGCTGATAGAAATTTTAGAGGCATACCATGTCATGTTATCTTGATAAATCTCAAGTGAAGTTGTACAAGCTTTAATGAAATTAGAATGAATTAATGACTGCTTCGTTGAAAGAAAGCATTGCAAGGCTTTGCAAATGCTGTAAGTGTCTACAGTAGCATTCAGCCATGCAGTAATTAATGCAAGTATTCATCTAGACTTGAAACTTATGTAGATGCACAACAGTACATTCAGAAGGAGAAGGAAAATAGACCCAAAAGACAACAGAAAAAAAGAACTCTTGAATTTAAACACATTTCTATCAATCTCAAAAGAAGCTAGTTTGTATTTATATCTACATGTGATGGTTTTCACCTTGAGCCTTCCCAGAGACCAGCTTGTAACCAGGAAGGAACTAGGAAGGTGACCCAGGATGTATTCCTTGCTATTCCTTTACGATACCTGAGGTATAAATAAGGTGTAGATAAGAGAGCTCGCTCTCTTCCTTTCCGGTGAGGTTCAAGAACGGTGGGTCCCTGTCTCGGTCTTGCTTATGTGGAGCTGAGGCCTGCAGTGACTGCTGTTGTCTGCCACACGTGAGGGGAGAGCGCTGGGCAGCGTCCAGCCGTCCCGCTTCTCTCAAGGAAAGTGGTGAGATTTTGCCAGTTCTTTATTTTGCTGGTTACCAGATTTTTAGATTGTGCATACCTCTTTTGCTTCTGTCCCTTTTCATCCTTTTTTTTGTCCTTTTTATCCTTCTCCATTTCCCTCTTCCCTTTAGGAAGCTAATTGGGGGTATGGGGGTTATAGGTATATAGTATTATCACTGTATATATCTGGTTTTATATGTAAAATATATATATTTGATATAATCCTGTTTCGTTTGAACTTCTTTCAGGTTTTTTTCTGTTGTTCGCTTTTTTTCCTCACTTGGGGAGAGTGGGAGGGGGTAGGAGACAGCTCGGACTTGGCAGGAGAGCCAGGCCAAACTGATACACTACATAAAATCATGAGGTAAAATAGAGCATCTGTTACTTGTCATCAGCAGGAGTTATCCTTTGTTAATGAATTGTCCAGTATCACCTGACTGTACTAGTCAGTGTTACCAAATAATAACCACTAATAAATGTCTGTGAACTTGACTGGACATGACTTAAAAAATCCTCTGTGGCTGGAGGAGGGCTTCAAATTTTTACTGATCAAAGAATAATGAAGGGCTCTTCAAGGAAGGATATCCAGGCTTATACAGCCAAAACCTCAAGGTCTAGGATCTGAAAGGACACAGAATACCAAAGAGACTTTGCCAAAGCTGATTGGAATAATTACTTCACTGATCTTGTAGGCTACTATAGTCCCCACCCCATAAGACAACTGCTTGTTTGCAACTTCATGCCTTTGCTAGGTCATATTCAGGTGGTCATTGAATATAATATCAGATTTTTTTTTTCAGTAAAATATATATTGAATTTTGTCTATCTTTATTCAATTTTTAACTCTAATCCATTCTCTGGGGTTCTTTTAATCTATCTCAGGTTGATTAAACTATTAATTCAAAAGTGAACATTGTTCCTTCTATTGCCCTTGTAATTAATGAAATATTGCTGATCTTTGCACAATCATACTTGATATATACTTTGCTGTGGAAAATAAACATTTACGGTTATTATAAATATGGTTTTCTAGTCACTTTTACCTTATTTCTATAACACTATACTTCTATAATCATATAATGAGAAATTCACATAATTATATGACTATTTTTGAGCACAAAAATATACTTTTTCAACTGAGTCAAGAGCCTTGCTATAATCAAGTTATATACAGACTATTTCCTATTTTGTTGCCTGCATCTTAAATGGCGTGACACGAGTCAGCATTTCCAATATCTTGTCACCACACCCTTCCAGTGAAAAACAGAGAGTTTTTTTAAGTAGTGTCTTGTCTGGTATTTTGTACTGCACAATGATTGTCTATTACCTTATTATTTATACTAATTGCATTAGCCGCATTATTAGCTGATCTTGTTAACAATAACTGCAGCTACATCAGAGGTTTGTTGTATTTATTAATTAGTTGTAGACCAAAAAAGGTACAATTCATATTTGCTTGGCTTGAAACCAGGCAAAGTCAGTGAAATAGCATAATTATGACAGTTTATCTGCACCATAGAGTCATCATAAAGTGGTTTGGAAGGGACCTTAAAGCTCATCTCATTCCACTCCCTGTCATGGGCAGGGACACCTTCCACTGTCCCGGGTTGCTCCAAGCCCTGTCCAACCTGGCCTTGGACACTTCCAGCGATGGGGCAGCCACATCTTCCCTGAGCAACCTGTGACAGGGCCTCACAACCCTCATTGCATGAAATATCTTCCTTCTATTGAGTCTAAATTTGCAAGAATAAAGGGTGTAGGGCACATGGGGAAGTCGTGTGTTGAAACTGGAAAAAAATCCTGGTCTTCAACTTAAGATTAACTCTTCTGAGAGCAGATATGATAATCCCCTTTTATTCAGGGCAGGAGGCTGAGGAGGAGGAAAGAGGAGAAAAGGGGAGAAGGAGGTCATCCACTCCAGTCAAGGCTACATCACCTGCACCTTGGCCACTGAAACCATCAGGGAATTTCAGCAGTCACTCCATATCACTGTATATATAAAAAAAGTTTACCATAAGCATCTTAAAAGCTGTTTATTTGCCTAAGCCATGAAAATACCTGACAGTGATGTAGAGCCAACCACTGTGTGTTATTAATGAATGTCAATCCTGCAGAATTCTGCTCTGATTTTTGAAACAGAGCTGATTTGTCAGTATTCTCAATGCTTCCATCACTGTGATAACTTTCCTGATCTATACATAAATCTATACAAGTTAAATACATTTTATACATATTTGTAGATACAATGTAAATGTGTATGTACATATATTTGGAAATCAAACATACATATATATACAGTTTCAACAGAACCAGTGGTCAAAGGATGTGAAAACTTCAGCCTTAGGGCTGTCTGTGTTATTCTTTATTGACTATCAGACCTCAGTCTTCCTCTTACTACTCATGTACTCTGAGAAGAACATCTTCTCACTTCTTATGTCCTCTTCTGGTTGTACCTCATCCTCTGATGAGGCTTTTCTGATTTTGCCTTTCCACTTGTGGTTGGCATCATCTACTGAATCTTCAGATTAGCCAGGCATATAGTCAGCCCATGCTCCGTGGTGTTATTACATATCCAGACTTACAGCAATGCAGCAATCAATTCAAATGTTAAGAAACATCTACACTAAAATAAAACAAAACAAAAAAATCTGTGTTTGTACTGTTAACATAAGTGGTGTGACAGATAACATTATCACCAGTGGACCTCAGTCTACTCAAATATTGTTATAACCTGCTTAAATTATATGCTAAGTTAGGTGTGGTGTTTTGGTTTGGGTTGATTTTTTTTTTTTTGACTGGCTTACATCTAGACTAGTCGCACTGTTTCTTGTTAGTTTAAAGATGTGATCCTTCAATTATTTTTTCTCTTTGATAGTTGATATCTTTGTGGGCAAGTCAAACGCAGGTGAGAGAACAAAGGTAATAATTAAATAAATTACACCCTCATTTCTTTACAAAATCTTTTTCACATGTTTTTCTGGTAGGAGATTTACTATAATTAGATATCCACTTTCATGAATGATATACAGAATGCTTAATTATTATATTATTTATTCTGTAGCTCAAGGACATGACCCAAATTTTCAGTAAGTACTTTTTTTTTCCCTTTTTCAGATTTGAATGTTTTTTTAATTTATTAAAGTTAGTATGAAGTGAAATAAGTTTATCTAGGAACATGATGAAATATACAGAGAAGGAATATTCTTCTCTGATGTAAATTGAAGTAACTTCAATGACATGACAGACCAATATCTCAAAGCAGACATGCCAGTTGACAACTTACTTTGCTTATACTAATCAATGTGTCTTGATCAATAGTAATACCTAGTTTCCCTGTGTTATAAATACACATTCTGACTTACCCAGTAAACTTTTTTAATTTGTTTCCTCATTGTATTTATGGTAATTCTACATGTGCTATTGTGCTGTATATCTGGACTATACAGCAAGTTTTGCAAACCAGTCTTTTGCAACTTCATTATAGCTCTGCATCCAAAGAGTCTGACAGAACAAATGTTTCTAAGTGAGGATCTAGACTCAGCAAATTGTGCATATTCAAATTAATTTTCCAAATTGTGCCACTTTATTTGAACCTCAAGTTGCCAAAAGAAATAAAAAAGGAAAGGAAACCCTATTTTTCAGACTTTCATCTATCAGAGAAAAAAAATGCAATAAGGTAGTTGTCTGTCACACTAAAATTAGAGCTTAGTAGCTGAAGTATTTTCTCAGTGCATAGGTCTTGCGTTTTCTTATTGTTTACACTATTGCCCCAATGTTTATGAGTTCCCCCCTTACATCCACAAAATTTAACAACACTGTGACTCAGCTTTGAGGACAGAATGAAACACCACATTGGTAGGGGTCCCAGAACAGAAAGGGTCTTTTTCTGTTGCAGTTCAAGAGAAACTCAGCAATCTGTTGAAACTAGAGTTAATTTGGTGCACAATAAAACAGGCCCTAATTTACAGATTCTATTCCCACAATAAAAATGTGTCCTGTTAAGTCTATTTCATCTTTGCATGGATGAAGTCTGAGATTTGTGCACTTTTCTTCTTAAGGGACAGAAATGAAGGGTTCTCAAAAGATTCAGAAATCCAGATCAGATAGCTCAAAATACCTATTTTTTTTCTAAATTGCTCTTTAAGAATAACTGACTATAATGTCCTCATCCAAAGATCGAAAGATTTTCCTTGTTAAATGGTTTATGAAGAAACAAAAGCTGTCTGCCACAACTATAGCTCTGTGTTTATAGCTTTGATCAGGTTAAACAATGAAAAGCTGTTTAAAATATTTAAATGTTTTTTAAGTAAGATTATCTTTTAAAATATTTACCTTCAGTTCACAAAAAATTTTGCAAGAAGGTAACATCCTGGTCTGATTTGAAATTGTTCATATTGGAAAGCATAAAAATTATTATGTTGATCTAGAGGGACAGCAAGTGCACTGTGGTAGATAAATCATATTCATTTTGAACCCAGACTTAATTTTATCAAACAAATCTTGAAGGAGGAAATATTCTTACAGCTAGGATTTGAAAAACACACTTGTTAAAACCATTTATATTCACAGTAATATTCATTTGTATTCACAGTCAAGCCATATATGTGAATTCATTAAGAAAAGGAAAAGTGACAGATTCTAATTAGTCTACTTTTAAAAAATGGATATAAATATTACATAGAGGATTTTTATGAACACGTATGGGAAATAAAAGTGATAAGCCAACAATGGTTTGCCAGCACATTGGGACAGCCTGTCCTGCAGCACCAGCAGACTTTTGCAAACTGATAAGGAGAGTTACTCAGCAATTTCATTACCTACTCATTGAACCAGAGTGCCTTGTTCGTCCTTGGAGGATCATTACATATGTTTTAATTTAGAAGAACATTCCAAAACCCATCAATCCAGGGTTCCCTTTCAAAGCATGATTTGATCAAAGGCATTAAATGGTTGTTTTCCCTGTTTCAATCTCCAATCTAAAATGAAATTTAAAAAAATTTTAAAAAAACCCAAAACACAAGAAAATTAACAAAAAAATTAGTTAGAAAAAAACAAACAAGCAAATATAAATATAGAAATTAAAAAAAAAAAAGAAAAAAAGGAACCAAACAAACCAATGAGAAATGCTCAGCACAATTC